GGAGAAGCTGCAGGCCTCCGAGGACGCCAAGGACGAGGTGGAGAGGAGCCTCGAGGCGATGACGGCCGAGCGCGACGAGCTGGCGGAGAAGCTGCGGGCCACTGAGGACGCCAAGAGAGAGGTTGATAGGAAGTACTTGAGATTGACTGAGGGTTATGTTAAAGTTCGTCGGATGTGTACCGAAAAGGATCTGCGTTTGCGTGTTGTGCATGATTATCTTAATCGGGGCTCTGAGGCAGATGTTGACGAGGAAAAAAATTTTGCTGTTTCCAAGGCTTTGTTGTCATCCCGGCGAAACCTTGAAAAAGAGAATCTAGGTCAATGAGTTTTGTGATTTCCTTAGACCTGCGCTGCTTTTTTTTTTGCTGGTTGTTTTTTTTGTTTGTATTAGATGTAAATTGTGTCGTTTTTGCTGTTGTACTGTGATGCTCTAGTAGTTTTTTTTTTTTTTTGGGCCGTCACTTTTTTGTTTGTTATAGATGATGGTGCGGGGAATAGGGATTGGTTCCCAATTTTTTTTTTTGTTGTGTTCGTTTGGCTTTGCATTTTTGTAGCGACGTCATGGCGCATGTATTCGCCTCTGCTTCCATTTGGGGGTTGCGGTGGTGGCGTTGAGCCCGCGTTGAGTGGCGTTTTTAGTGCACGTCCCGCGTTGTGGCGCGTGTAGTGTTGCTTGCATTCCTTGCCCGTTGTTTTTGCTTCCTTTTTTTTTGTGTGTGTGTTCTTGGTGTTGTGCGGGAGGGCGGGGAGGCGGTTTATTGTTGCCCCGCAGTTGCACGTACAGTAGTATTTACCGCTGGGCCTCGACGTGGGGGGAGGAGGAGGAGGAGGAGGGACGGGCGGCGCAGGTGCCGGTGAGGCGAAGACGAGCGTGGACCCGAAAAGGGACAAAAAAACAAACAAAAAAGCAAATCTTGCAGGTGAAGAGTAATGGATTTGGCGGCGAAGCGGCGGCAGCTGGAGGAGATTCGCGCCGCACGGGAGGCAAAGCAGCGGTCTGTGCAGCAGCAGCTCCAGCAGCGGCAGCAGCAGAGCAGTCGTCAAAAAACGTCCGCCGCCGTCGTCGCCTCCTCCTTTGCGTGCAGCAGCACCCCCAAATCGTCGATGACGTCCTCCGTGGGCGGTGAGCCTTTGCAGCGGGCGGTGTCCTTGTCGTCGGTGGCAAGCGCACGGGAGGAGCCACACGCGAGGAATTTGCAGGCGGCGTCCCCCTGCATGTACCGGAAGGCCGCCCGTTTTACCGTCCTCACGGCTCTCCTTTAGTGAGCTGCCTTCGAAAGGCAGCCGTCGAGGGAGTGGCGGCAACGCGGAGGCGTCTGGAGTTGAAGGCGGTGCATGGAAGCTGGAGGTGGGCGTTGGAGCTTTTGCGCTGCGACCGTCGTTGGCGGAGGAGGAGTGCAGCGCTCCAGTTGACACAATTGCAGCCGAGCCGGCTTCCGCAGCTGTCAGTCTGGGCGCTGAAGTTGCTTGCGCCACGGAAAGCCCCTGCGAGGGTGACGCGAATGCGCAACGACGCGTTCTGCCAGCGCCCGATGTTGCAATGCTGCTGGCACATTCGCTCTGGGCGGGGTCGTGTGTCAACTGCACGGGCCGCTGCGTATTAGATGTGAATCTGCTTGATTCCAACTTTTCTGGCGGGAGTGTGGGCGGGAGTGACGACGACAGTGGCTTTCTTGTGGCAGCCGCGCTCTCTGAGCCGTACCACGCGGAGGAAAAGAGCGATGGCGCGCCACAGTTGCTCTCAGCTCGAGGAGGTGAGGCACTGTCGTTCCCGCCGTCGCCGTCGCCGTTGCCGTTGACCGCTTCAGCAGCGTCAGCAGGAGGAGGAGGAGGAGGAGGCGACGCGGCAGCGCGGGCAGCGGCGGCGGCGGGGGGATCTGCTGGTGAAATGCGTGGCCTTGTGCTTCTCTGGCGCATCTCACGCGGCCAGACCAGTGATGCGAGCTACCGTGTTGTGCCTTTGTGTTTTGACAGCGAAATCCGCGTTCTCACCTACACTCGCCATCGGCCGCAGTTGCTATTTGGCGGCGCTGCCGATGGCTCTGTGGTTGCGTGGCGGATTGACCACGCGCTGCAGGGACAGTGTGGCGCCGTGGTGACTGCTGGGCCAGAGCCTTTGTCGGTGGCCCCGTTCTCACGGCGGTTGCCTACCGTAAACGTTGCGGCTGCGCTGGCGGCGACTGAGCAGTCGTTTCCGTCGCCGCTCACGCATCAATCCCGTGTGCTTGCCATGGCAGTACACGGCGACGCCAACTATCACCATCTCTACACGATCAGTCAAGATGGACGTGTCTGTATGTGGGCGCCGCTGCAGCTGCGGCTGCCGACCTCGAGCCGCGACGGGGTGGTGTCGGGGCAGCCACTGGGGCGCATCGGGTCATGTGCGTCGTTTGTAGACAAAGCTGCCGATGCCATGAGCAAAGTCGTAGTGGGCTGCCTTGACGGTTGTGTGCTGGAGGGGCGTACGAAAAGTTCCCGCGTTGTGGAGATGTTGCCGATCAATGCCGGCGCCACCGGCGACGTCTTGCCGAGTCCCTCGTCGACACCACGAGCCGCCGTCAATGGCCCCGCACACCGCGGCGCCGTCGTCGTCGTGGCACCCCACCCGCTGCACGCCGACCCCCGCATGAGCGACACCCTCTTGACCGCCGCCGCTGACGGGAGCTGCAGTCTCTGGCTGGGCGCCCGCCGCATTGCCATTGATGGCTTCACCGCGCAGGTGAGTTCTCTGCGGTGGTCCCCAACCCACCCCGCGGTGTTTGTCGCCGGGGAAAGCAACGGCCGCGTCGCCGCGTGGGATTTATCGCGGAGCTCTTCCGCCCCGGTGGCTTCGCTGTACTTGCGCCCCGCCCCACCCACGGCCGGGTGGGCGCGCACGACCGCCGCGGCAACCGCGGCACACGCCCTCGCGTATCGCAGCGCCGCCGTCATGACCCTCTGCTTTTCCGACGACGGCGCGTGGTTGTCGTGCGGCACCGCGGACGGCGAGGTCCACCTGCTGCGCCTGCGCCCGGACCTTTCGCTGGAGAGCAGTGCGGCGGCGGCGGCAAAAGGAGGACTGCCGCTCCACCCGAGCAACGGGGCGACGCCGTCGCCCGTCGACGGCGGCGAAGCGACCGCCGCACGCGCAACCGCAGAGCGCCGCGCCGTGTCCTCTTGGATTGACGCGCGGTTTGACTTGTAGGCGCGGCGAGCGGCCGGAGCGGGAAAAATGCATCCGGGCGAGCGAAAGAACCTCGCGGCGCTCGTCTTTTTTTTTTTCAGCGTGTGTATCTGGCTGCAAGCAGCTTTCTCGTGCTCTGCCGCATTTTCCCCCTCCCCTCCCCTCCCTTCCCTTCCCTTTCTTCCTTGCACCGGCTGGTTGCTCCTGATGCCTGTGCTAGCAGAGGCAAAAAAAAAAAAGGAGATGATTCCCCCAACGGCACGAGTTAC